ATCGCGCACAATATCAGACCCCACAATTTCTATGCCAAAAGGTTAAAATTCATTTTTTGGTTCTTTTACTATAACAAATGAATAGGAACAGTAAAACGTCTCAACATTCGTTGAATAATCCGTCACTGCTGATATCCTCCTTCGCAAATACAGCACATCAGGCTCCACAATATTAAACAACTTGGTGACAATGGTGACAACCCCTCTAAAGAACACAGGCCTACTTTTCCCACACAATCCTTTCCCCAGTCTCTCAACTCTAACCCATGTTTCGTGCCCAGTCCCCTCTCCTCCACACATGACACTACCTCTTTATTGTAAGTATTCTTATTTTCCTAATCAAAATCAATCTCACTCTTCTTATTTTCCTTATAGTCATAAAGATTCTTGGGGGCAAAAACAGCATCGACACCACCAGGAACAGACTTGAGCTTGAGTATATCGCCGTAAAAATCAGATGGGTATGTGGAAAGGTCCTCGGAGGGAGAGAACTGACCTGGGTTCACATATATGGAGACGACAACGACCTCGGCGTGCTTGTGGGCTTCTTTAACGATCGACAAGTGGCCTTGGTGAAGATAACCCATGCTGGGCACCAGCCCCGTCGTCTTCCCCTGGGATCTCATGCTTCTTAACCATTCCCTCATCTCATCTTTCTCTGTGAAAATCACCAGTTCCTTAACCGCCATTGATTGTCACAAAGGGGTTAGGATTTTGAATTGAAATTTGGGAGAGAAGAGGTCGAATTTTGCTCTAAACTGTGCAGGAACTGGGGTTTGACACTTTTCCTGGGAAGGTGAAAGAAAATGGGAATGTCAGGTACAAGTACAAGAATATCCTATCACACACTCAACAGATTCTTCCTCTGAATTTGAACTTAGAAATTTGTTACTACCATTCCCTCGTTTGGCAAATTAATATTTTCTTGTTAATTTAAGATAAAGGGAGAGGCTTTGTTCCTTCCCTTTCGTCTTGGAATAGCCTTAATTTTTTAATAATTTCTTTCATCTATTCTTTCAGTTCTGCGCAACAAGTGATAAGACTGCAATGGCAAGTTTGGCAGATGCAGGCACATACGAAATCCTTATCTTCATTATCAACTTAAATATGATTTTGAGATATGTTCTAAATTATGTATGCAACCATAACTCAATTTCTTAAAATAGGATTGATTGTATAAATTATAAACCTTTATATAATCATATGGTTTATTTCTTAAATAACTGATATATCAAGACAAGACAAATATTGTTGGTGTCATTTCTTTAGGAATTTTACGAGAGTTTGATTTTCATCCATGCCATGCCATGTTTGCAAACATGAAGTTAGAACTATTTCCAGAATTTTATGCCTGTGCAATCATTTGTCCCACATTTTGTTTTCGGAGACTTTCTGGTTGATTAGAGAAGCGAACTTTGATTATCAGAATCTGCAATGTCATGATCATTGCATATTCTCATTTAGCTGCAAAACAGAGAAGGCTAAAAAGTGATGATCTTTAGTGATACTGTAATGGTACAGTTCTAAGATGAATGGTTGATCTCACTTGCAGTGCATTTCTTTTTCTTTGTGAATTTTCTAAGATACCCACATTATGTTTTTCAAGTTTATTGAGGTGAAACATGCACAATCAAGCACTGGTTTCTATTGTTTGTGCATTATATCTGTTGACATTTTAGTAATCAAAACTGCGTTCTGTTGTGCTGAAGGTTCACATGTACATTTCATATTTATACCATGAAGCCACCACTTTTTGCTCTACTACATGGTGATGGAGTCTTTTATATTTGAACTTAAACTCATAAAGGCATAGAAGCTAATGATTTGGCTTTTGCTTGTTTTCTCTGCTTTCCATGATCTGTAGCATTTGGTGAGGAAGAGTATGATGATACCTGAAGGTGTAAACATTTGTCAAATCCGTGGATTTGAGCAAATTTGGAGCTGAATCTAATGGGGAAGTGGTGGGCATTTATACTAGGGATGCTGGCATCAAACAGAATGTAGAAGATGCAGAAGAGAGAGGCATTTGAGTCTTAAGTCAGTGCTAAAATGCAGGAGCTTATGATACTGTTTATCATAGTTTGTTATTTGAAAAAACATTTGACAAAGTAGATTATTCGAAGCTGGATTCTTTTTCATTTTAAAGCCAATATGATAATGCTACTGTCTGTAAAACCGCAAGGGGCATGGAGCTTTTATGGCTTCCTACAACTTATTTGGCCCATTTTTATTTTCTTGATACAGTTTGCCTTGTGATGTTCCCAGATTATTGGTTTCTTCCTGCAACTGGTGATCTTCACTGAAACAATTCACACCTCCTGTTGGAGATTAATCTATATAATATATCCCTCTTCTCATGCTTAGTTTTGATCAAAATCTATGTAACGTTTCTGGCTGCACTTCTCCCCTCTTCGGTGGGGTTTGATGCAATTCCACTTCTCTAGTTTTATGAGATTACCATTTTTTTTTTTTTTCATAGTGAAGAAATATGAGTGTCAAAAGAAAATGGACATTTTTTTATATTAATGTTGTTAATTTAATATCATTAATGTAGGCCAAAACTGAAGGAGCAGATGCAGTACTGCATTGATCACCCATAGGAGGTCAGCGAGTTCCCAAGGTGAAAGCTCAAGTTTCACAAGTCAAGGGAGTTGTGATGGAAAGCATAGAGAAGGTGAGTGACTATCAGTACCTCTTGTACTTCTGCAATAAACTTGAAGTTTTTGTATATTGTCCTGAGTGATGTTGCTGAATTTATTAGTTTTAGTTTGTTGTTTGTCAAAGTAATGCTCAAGAAGAGAA